CCTTGAGAAAGTGTCCCCCCAGCACTGCGGAGTCCCTTCGTCTGTCTCTGTGGCTCCTAGACAGCCTTAGGATTTAGTCGTGGTTAGCTTCCCACTGTATCAGATCAAAGGCAGGCTTCGATCAAAATGAGGTGAGAACGGCAGGACAGAGGCAGGGAGGGACCCCCTCCTAGCCCAGCAATTAATCTGACAGCTTTAAGAATAGATCTGATTAAAACAAATACACTGCCTTGCACTGGCAAATGTTCACAAAACTCAGCAGACTAGGACAGGAGAAAGCTCCCAGAAAATTAAGTGAGGGTGAAGGAGAATCAGGGCTGCATAGCACAAATGCATCACTACAACAAGCAACAAGCTAAAGCCCAGTGGAGTGGCTGCTTTGCAGTGTTGTGCAAGTCCACCAATACCATAAATATAATCTTCCAGTTATCTTCCAGTGGAAAGCCTGGCCTGGCAGCATGTGGGACTTTGGGGGACCATAAATGTTTGTGCACTGCTACAAGCAGTCATAAAACATAAATGAGGGTTTGATCACATTTAATTGCTTTTGAGAAAGGTACTATCACTGGGGGATCCATCACAATTACCTTCCCCTGTTCCAACACAGATGAAGAGCTGGCCCAGTGATCTAGATCAAAAACCTATTTCAGGGGTAAGAAGAGAAATACTCTAAAAGCTTTAAAGATGCCTCCCATATAAAACATGATGTCCAGCCAGGAGAGAACAGACAATAGAAAGTCAACTGATGAAAGGATGCACTCTTATTCTCCACAAGAACTTTCTCTGTTGTTTCAACAACTTTCTAAGGCTGCAGAAAAGCTTAGTAATGAACCAGACAACAGTGCAGAGAGCCCAAAATGTACCTAAGAGGAAGAAATAAGAATATCCTCTGTTTTCTTTCAGGGCTTGACTGAAGCGTTTCAAATATCTGAGGTTGGCAAGGCCACCTCCCAATGCCTTTCAACTTTGGCAGCACTCAGAAGAACTGCCCTTCCTCTTCCCACCTCACTGGAAATAGATTTCAAGTCTCCAGAGGAAGAAAATGGAAACAGCTGACTTCTCCCAGCCACAAGCTCAGTTGTCACCTTCCAGCTGGAGGCAGGCAGACGGGTAAGAGGAAGGCTTCCCTCCCACCCACACAAAGCTGAAGGCTCCCAAAAAGATTTTGCAGCTAACATCCACCTACCAAAATCTGCTCAGAAAGCCAAAGCTCTCCTTGAACACGGGGACTGCAACCCAGGAAGGCTCCCACTACCTCCAGCAGCCTCCTGCAGAGGGACTGGCAGGGCCAAGGCTTTCATGACACATCATCTCTGGAATTCACTGTTGAGTGTCCCACAGCCTCTGCTTGGTACAATGCCAGAGCTGTTTCTCAAATCCTGCGTGACCTACCAGCTGTTGAGGGCAAATCAGCAAGGCATACATCCACCCAGAGAGGAGAGAAGATCAGTGAACTTCTGGTGAATGAGCAGACTGATGTTTCACAAAACTCACTCCACACTCTTGGTTGCAGGGAACAGGCTCAGCTCCCTGGCTGTCCTAGAGGAGCCTGCATGATCCCAGGAAAGCCTTTGGACCCCTTGGAGCAAGACTTTTGTCTCAGAAGGCAGAAAGCTATGCAGCACTGAGCAAGGCAGGCAGATTGCCAGCTGAGGACTCAAACTCCTTCAGGGAACTGTAACAGTTACGTGGTAAATGCATTAACCATGGGAACAGCTTCCCAAAGGATGTGGTGGACCCCAAATTGTAAGTCTTTCCATTGTGAGTGGATGGCTCTTTCAGAAATGCAGGCTGTAGCGTGACCACAAGCGCTCAGAGGGAGCTCTCAGGAAAACGCCACGACCCCAGAGAAGGCAGGGGCTCAGACAGCAGACCCAGGGAGGCTCTTTGAACCCTCAAGCACCTAACCTATGAGATTCCTGCCCTTTGCACCGTGCCATGGAAATTAAAGACTTTTCTTGGCTATGCTCCTTTTCCATATCTCTGTCCAGCCCAGTCTTCAGCTGTTTCTGTGATCTGTGATCTGCTTCAGGACAGCTAAATTTCCTTTGACCCAACTTACCGAGCAATCTTCTGAACCTTGTCACCCTTTCTAGCTTCCTTGTTTTTCAAGTAGAACCAGATCTCCTAGTGAAAGTTTCACTGCCTCATAGCTTGAGATTCTGTTCCCCCAGCATCAGTTTCTTGGCAAAACTCCCAGAGAAGGACTAGTGAAAGCCTTCACAGCATGCAGCACCCAATGACCCACATGGCTAGAGTCAAGTCATTCTGCCTACTGTCAGTTCCTGGAGAGCAGTCCTTGGCAAGAGAGAGGAGACTGAACCTCACTCATAGCATAATTCCTCATTTTCTTTAACTTCATCAGTGACAACTGCAACGAGGGACAAGGCTGTCACACTCTGCCTAGGCGCTACATTGGGATACCCCTACACTGGTACTGCAGTGTGCTCACTGAGGTTAAGCACCCAGTTATGCGTGTGTTCTGAGTCCTCTCCTGTCAAACCAGATGCCTCAAGCTGCTCAAAACTTGAGGTGATTTCCAGTGGAGAATCTGCTTGTGAACAATTCTGATGCACTTTAGAGGCTACTGTTAGAAAAGGGGGAGAAAAATACATTTGAAGGGAGAGGAGAGGAGAGGGAGATGCTTTGCCCTGCTCCTGACTTCACGCTGCTGGGCTCTTCAGCACCAGGACCAAGCTCTGCAAATAGCCAGGTACAAGGAAGTCATGCTGAACCTCCCAGGAGAGCAGTAAGAAGCAGGAAACTTTCTGCATGAGCAGAAAAATTCCTTTATCTGGCTCAATCACAGTAGTATTTGGACAAAGCGTTCTTGCTCGTATCTGGACTGTAATCTGGTGTTTCAGCAGGGCTGTTCTCAGGTCTCCAGCAACACTCAGCTGATCCACATGCACCTTGGTGGAAAGTGTTTATATATAAAGTTCCTCCTTTTCTTATCTCTTTGCTGTTTCTAGTTCTCTTCAGGATCTATAATAAGTGATTTGAGTTTATTTATAACCAATAAAAAGCCTCCTCCATGATATCTATACTACAGCACTTCTCGTTCTATGACTCTTTTCCTTCCATTCACAAACCCAAACCACTTCCATGGGCAGAAAAGGTGAAGCAAGGAAAAGCCTTGCCAAGGGAAGAAGCTCTCCCATTGTTCTCATCCAAGAAAGTGGCACAAAGGGAAAAAGACGAGAAGGGATGGCTCACATCCCTGGGTTGTGGCAGAGAGCTGGAAAAGGCTCATCTCCAGGAGGACAGAGTGCCAGCACTTCTTTTTTTAATTTAGCCAGCAGCTGCAGAATTTAAGCTTTATTAAAAGCCTAGTTTGCCCTTGCTGCTGCAAAGGAAACCAACTCCCTCCTCTCCCCTCCCAAATAAAAGGCTAAAGTCTGCAGACAGACATCCTGTAATGTCACCTTAGAAAGAGGTGGCAACCTGACTCATCTTAGTGGAACATGCATACAGCAGTTTTACTTCAGATTACAACAAATGAAATACATTGCTCCCACTGCTGATCCTTGCTTTGAGGCTTTATTATGAGAAATCCATCAAACCTCCAATATTCTCTGATTACAAGTGCAAGAAAGGGAAGGCAGAGAAAACAGGCAGGCTGGAGTTTGACGCTCTAGGCATCATTCATTTCACAGTCTCCCACTTTGTTTGCAGCACTGCTGCATGCAGGAGCCCTCTCTCCTACTGACACATGCTGTGTGATGGGTCAAAAAGACACCATTTAAACAGCCTTCCTATGACACATTTTAATGTAACACAAAGAAGAGACTGCTGTATTTGTCAAGTTAGAACAAGAAGAGATAGAGAGCACTGAACTAGATCTTACTTACTAAATATTGTTCTCCAATGGCTATTCTAAGCCTACCTCAATTTATAGATTAATCTGCTGGATCAGTAATTTAGGCTATTTGATGATTAGCCTTTAGAAGTATACATTTCTGGGAAGGCTGAAAATGTGCTTGTGATTTACAAAATTACTGCAGGGTCTCTAGTGGATTATTTGTCAGAGGCAGGTGTTCAGCATTAGCCACATTCTCCCTTTTCTCCCCACATCCAGGTTTAGTAGCAGCAATGAAATACCAACTGTTCCTGCAGCATTTACTCTAAAACAGAAAAGCAAGTGTGAGTCTTGTCCCCCTTCCCATTTCTAGCCTGCTGCCACACAATATTAAGGCTTTAGGATGATGTATATCAATCAACTGGGGTTGGGGGGGGAACAGGACTGGAAAGCATCCAAATAATCTGTGCCCTCCCCACACCCTGGGGAGAGCACCCAAAGCCTGCCATGACAAGGAACATTCCTCCTCTGTATCCATGCTTGTGGAGGAGGATGGTGCCTGCTGAACAAAACATTTGAGGAGGGAAAGAGCCAGTCTGCCTCTGTTTGCAGCTAGCCCCTCCTTTTGCCCAGCCCTTTCCGACTCTGACCCCAAGCTGCTGCATCTTTCAGGCTCGTGTTGGGATTTCCTCTGAAGCCTGTCAGCAGAGCTCTTTAAAATGGCAGTTTGAATCCGTGTGAAACACCAAACTAAGCATCCTTCCTCAAACACTGAGTACACGGGCCCCAAAACCCTCCTGGAGCCTGCAGTGTCTGCAAAGCAGGCAGTGAGCATTGCTTCAGCTGGCTCTCAGCATGGCCCCTTTCAGAACACAAAAGGAAGCTCGAATCCCTCAGGGCCCAGATTTTTTCCAAACTGGGTAAACACACGAAAACACACATTATTTGCATGCACGGCAACTGGGACAAAGGATCTGTGGCCAGGTAGGTGTCTAACTGGTGGTCCAGGCATGTAGTAACATGTGTGCAATTCTAGAAATCTTGAGCTAAGAGACTTATCTCTAGACTGACTCTGTGCTGCTTCCAAGTCTTGCTTTCAGAGTAAAAAAAAGCCTTTGTTGTTTCAAGTATTACCATTTCAGAAAAAACCCCACCCCTGCTCAGCCCCCCACCCCAAAGGTTTAGTTTGTAACCCAAAACATCAGCGCCTTAAAAACATAAGGTCAAAGCCCTCCAGTCATTAGGCAGATTATATTTAAGAGCCGTATGTGCAGCTGATCAGAGGCTTATTCCTTAAAGGATTGAAATGGCAAGCCAGCGCACCTCAGCAAGCAATCTTGTTTAATAGTCAATTAGCAGAGATGTGCTCTTCTGAGCTAAAGATCACTGCAGACAAAAAAAAAAAAAAAATGCACCACCATCAGCTTTCCTCTACTTCTGCTATTAAATCAAGCCAGCTGATTTTCTCCTTAGCTGGTAAGGCAGGGATGCAGTTAGAAGTCACACAGCAGTTTTTTTCCAACCAGGATGCTAACATTCTTGATAACAAACAATTTTTTTAGACTAGAGGGGGGCTGGATAGACTGAGAAGCCAATAGGAAAACTGGAACTTCTTCAATACAAAGCCTTGTCTCTGAGCATTTAACTAAACTAGGGCAAGATATAATCCTCCAGCACGGTCTCCTCTTGCAACTCCAGATAACTAAACCCCACGTGGAATGCCATACATCTGGGAGGAGGAAGAGCTAACTAAAGGCAGACTTGCATAGTGTTGATGCATTAGTACCCACCAAATTACAGCAAGGACAGGCCACCTACATCCAGCCACATGTTGGCAACAAGCAGTGCTGCAAACTAGAGCACACACCCGAGTTTCACAGGCACAGGGACACGAGTGTAACCAAGAGCACATGGGAGCTCTTCTCTAGAGCTGCCAACACCAGTGTTCAAAAGCTCAGTCAGCCTCTGCACCCCCTCCAGCTGACGTTTGCTTGAAGCCAGGCGTTGCAGAAAAGGAATAAAATCAGAAGCAGCAATAATTTGCCTCCTAGTTTCCCACCCTAGCTTAAGCCAGCCAGCCAGCCAGAGTGGCTGTCCTTTCTTTCCAGCCATTAGAGGCAGAAACTTTCTTTTCCTTGCTCCAAAGCTGAGGTTCCTACCTGATCACTTTCCTTCAAGACTTCAGCTTTAGAAGGAGAATTTGCCAAGTATTTGCAGACTTGGCAATTCATTCAAAGCTAGCATCACCCTCTCCTACAATCAATCAAATGTGACACTGGGTGACTCAATTTGTAACAGGACGCTTGTGCTGGCTGGTTATCTTATCCAGAACCCAGATAGGAGAGTCTGATGGAAAGATTTATGCCACCAAATCAGTGCTCTTCACCGAGTCTCTTTTTCAAGAGTCTCAGCAGAAAGACTAAAAGGTTAAACTGCTCATGGACTCTAAATGACCATGTTGTGGCCACAGACCGTGTGAATGACCCTCTAAAATCCTCTGTGCTGGAGAAGGTGAAGTGCAATGTCATGCTGCAGAAAAACACGTGCAACCTTCCAGGCAACAGCAAGAGCAGGGTATGAAATCTGTCCCTACTGGCCCAGCAGCATCGACAGAACTACAGAATTTTCAGAAAAACATTCTTCTGACGCAACATGAAAAACTCAGAGGCACAGCAGTCGATATGGAAGAGTCAATATGAAGGCACATCAAATTAGGGTTCCTTCTTGCTTGTGGGTTACCACAAACATCTCTGCAGGCTGACACCTAACCTGGGGACTCCAATTTACTCTCCTGCTTTAAAGAACAGGGAGAACACAAAGATGCCCAAAGCCTGATAGCCAGCCTGGTGACAATGTTCAGAGAGAAACTGAAGCTTACTTTCTGCTCTTATCATTGCCATGCTGACTCTGTATAAAGGGAACAAAAACAAAGCAAGACTGCCTGAATGCCCTTTCTCAGCAGCAGAGTTAAACAAGACCGATTCTGAATGGCAAAAGACTCTCTGTCTAGAGACGACAATTTTTCACAGTATACCATTGCAGCAATAGGAGTGAATTCTGATGGAAGAAAAACTGACAGCTTTTGCCATTTAAATATATGCCTAAAGGCACCATTTAGAAGCAGGATTCTTAGATTATGAACAAAAACCCCCTACAGTTTTCTTTTCCCTCACAGCAAAATCCTACAGGAGCATCTCCCAGGTGGGGTGATGCTTACCTGAATAGACCCTGCTGTGCTCAACTCCATAGAGAACAGAGCAGACAGAAAAGTCTGCATCAGTACAGTCCCAAGTTAGCAACTTCAGAAGGCAAGTAATTATTTTACCTTTTTCCTTTCCTTTGAGTTGAGGCTGGCTTTCCCTGCTGGCTTCCTGACCTTGCACATTTGGTTGAGGTGAAGGTGGGAAGCAGCAAGCACTTCTTTCAAATTCAGGAGCAACAAAGGACTGTTGGGGCATGAACACAGGAGCAGAGAGGCCAAAGTTACAGGTGGTTATGGTTTGTAACAGGAAGGGTGACCTGGAGGTATTAACTCTCAGGGTTAAAGCACCACACAAGGAATGATGCTGCACTTAGAAGAGGACAGACAACCTCTCAGTCCTCCACGGGGGTGAGGCACAACCTGCAACTTGGGGAAGAAAAGAGCAGTACGCAGAGATGAAGTCACACAGCAAACTCAGAGGCTCCTAGCTATGCCTGGCTACCAGGGTCATCTCCTCTCCACCTCGCACTTCTTTCCTTTGCATTGCAAGCTACCTGTATGTGCAGCTTGGCTGAGAAAGCCTGGCTGTGCTGTGGAAGTGGTGGTAACTCAGCTGTGTGTCTAATCCAGATCAGGGATTTTCCTTGCCGTGCCATGATTCCTTTGCTTTTTTAGCTTATCCAGTTGTAACAGCCTCAGGGCCTGAAGGCAAGATCAGACAACTAAGAAAGGGCACTTTTAGCAGGGTCTCCCCCAGGCCTTCACCTTGCATGGGATGGCTGCACCCAGAGCCACATGGAAAACCCAAGCTGGTTTGGAGCACACCAGCAGCAAGAGGCACAGATTCACTCAGCTTCCCCAAAGCAGCACTGTGCCTGGGCTGCTCAGCATCTCCACTATTCTCCAGACACGCTGGTTTTGCCTCAGGTCCTCTTCATCCACATCATGTGCCTCTGGTAATACAGAGGGTGCTGAGTCTGGTGTGCCCAGCTCTCCCCACATCCCCAAATCTATGGATCATGAAGTTAGAGTTTTCTGTGTGCAGTTAAGCTACTAACAAAGCAAGCATCCCGAGACACTGGGTAAGTCTGTTACACCACACACAACCTGCTCACCATCAAATCCCCTTCAAGCAACTTTATCACTTGTTTCAACCTGCTGACATGACAATGAATGGCTGGCAGGAGAACGTTAAACATGGTTTCAGGCTTCTCTAGAGATGGTTGTGTGGGAACAGCTCACACCCCTCTCCTGAGCACACGCTGGGGCGAGTGCAGTCTGTACACTACTCATTTCTGAGGTCATGCAGCTACAGCAAGGAGAGCATCTTTGTTCCTGCCACATGTGTCTGCCTTAAAGGGAATATAAAAGCTGCTGGCTTTGTTAAACACTGAGATCCATGCCTTTCAACCCTCTTCCCACAGTTTTCAATACAGACAGCTGGAAGATCTTCTCCAAACTCTTTTTCTTGCTTCTTTCTTTGAGTTTAGGACATGGCTAATCTGGTCCTCCCTGATTTTGCCAAATAATTTTCTGGAGATCCCAAGGATGACAATTTATTGATTGAAGAGCTGGTGCATCACAAGGCTTATAAAAAGGTCATTTCCCAGAAAGTGTTTGATAGTCAGCCGAGAAAGCAAAAGCAAGAGACTGCAGGAATCTCTCAGTGCTTCACACATTACATCCTCTCCTTTGTTGTTCATATTTAAAGCGTGCAAAACCCCATATATTTAATTCCCTGTACGTTGCTTGGTCTCCTGCATTGCAAGCAAGGCTATGTCATGAGAACTCCAGCACAGCACATCCTTACCCATCAATTTTGGGAAACAGGGCTGGGCTGTGGTAAGCAGTAGACCAAGAGGAACATTGTTTTATTCCCTGTAGGATCTCCACATACTTCCCTACCCCCACACCATTTGGAGGAAGCAGCAGGGAAAAGAGGAACATGTTAGATACTTCAGTCTTTGGTCTTTTTCATATCTGCAAATATAAGTTTCTTATTAAAAGATAAAGAAAAACCCTTTCATCCTCTGTGTCCCGACCTAATCTTTAAATACCCAGTGAAATATAAGTAATTGAGAGATGCCTTTAGCAGCTGTGGGCTCAGTCATCCCTTTCATGTACGTAGGCAGAAGATGACTAGTACTAAGGGTTGCTTAAGTTAAAACTGACATAGTGTGATCGCTGTGCCTAGCAATGAATATTAAAAGTAATGACAAGACTGACATTATCTAGCTGTACTGCAGCTTCTACTTTTTTTTTTTTCCATTTAAATGCTCCATTCCTCAGTTCTTACTGCAAGGATCTGAGTCAGGAAAATACAGCTCAGGCTGACAACTTCCAGAAGTGCCTGCTAAAGCCCAGCTTGTAGTGTGCCAAACTTAAGACACTTAAAAGAGCTCAGCTTACAAAGCAACACAATTTCCTGAGAACAAACAGGAATAAAAACACTGCTTGTGTGTCATGTGCTGTGCACACGTTTGAAGTTTCAAAGAGGTACCCCTTGATTTTTTTTTTCCCTAAATGTTGGGCAACGTTGCTAAATCCTTCTTCACCTTCACAACCAGTTCTGTTCTCTCGGAAGTGACTGCAGATAGGCAGTAACGAACTGGAACTCTCCCACATGCTCTAGGGACCACGTTAGCTACAGTTTCTGCTCCCAGCAATGACAGATGTTTTCCTGAATGTGTAGAATTCTTTTTTTTTCCCTAAAGAAATGCCTTAAAAGCTGCTAAGTGGCTCTAACTGAATGAGTGGTGATTAAACAAGGGCATAAGACAGAACAAGCAAGTTGCCAAAATGCTTTCTCTCTTTAAATAGGAGAAAGCACCAGCGCCTGCACAGACTTGCTTCAATGCCCAAATTGCTCTCACCACAAATATGTACCTTATTTCTAGCTGCAGCTTTCAGTCACTGCTTACAGCTGCTTCTTGGTGGGCTGGGTCAAAGAGCATCTCCTTCAACTGAGAATTACATCCTTGTGCTGAAAACTACAGGCTAAGGTCAAGCCATGGTTCCTCCTACCCCAAAAGCTGTACCTCAGCTCTCATGTTAATCAGAGCCACCATGTGATCCAAAAACTCATGCTGAATTTTGCAGTGGAGGTGGGAGCTGTTTCCAAGCAACAGGGCTAAAACCTTGGGCTGCCCAAGGTCAGAGAGGATATCTCTGCTGAGGAGTGCATTTAGGCACTTCTGCAGCTGCTGCCCTGAACTCCACAGAGAGCACACAAAGCCTCCTGGGGGATCCCCTCGTATGTTAAACATGGGCCAGCTGGTTCCTCTGCAGCTTTAGAACAAACGTAAGCATAGCTCTCCCATGGCTGACAGCCCCGTCTATGCTACAGCAAGGATGAAGGAAGCAACAGCACAGCTTGGGTGTCCATGGCAGGAGATGTTCTCCAGCTCCCAGGGTTTCCCCTCTCCGCTGTTCTCACCCCACAGTGATGCACAAGCACTGCTGACAGGCTGGTCCCACACTGCCATCAAGCATTGCTCTGCACTCACCTCTTCAGGCTGCCTCACAGCATCAGTCTGATCATTTTAATTCCATGAGGGGCAGGGACCCAATTCTTGCTACCTCTTTCCCCTCTCCCTGTCCTTCAAAGGAAAGAGACATTTGCTACCAGTCAGCTAGGAAGTGTTTTCGTCAGCAGATGTTTTCCTTGAGCATCTTGTCATCACAGTTTGTCCTCTTAAATCTTTCTGAAGTTACAAGATGCTTGTTGAAAGCTGATGGTCAAGAGCTTGCACAGCAAAATTGAGCTCAGCCTGGCCACTTTGTAAATAATTTTATTGTACAAGGAAAAAAGGTATAAAAGCCCTGCACAGAGCATAAACAAGCTGACTGTACATAATGGACATTGTTAGGTGTCTGAATAGGTCACTGACTCAAAGGAAAGTTCAGCTCCACAATGCAGGTTTTAAGCTCTGAATACAAGTAGAAAGCATCCCTGTACACTCACACCTCATGCATTCAGCACAGCTGGATCTTTTTGTATTTCTCACTGTCCATTTCCTCCTGAATTTCCCTAGTTTCCTTCCATTCGTATTATGACCCTTTGTTCTTTCTCTGCCCTCTTCCTCCTTCTATTTTGAAGTGTACAGATGGAGACTAAG